AGGTCGTCGGCGTTCCACTACACCCTGCAGTTCCTGCTCCCAAAAGGAGCGGGAAAATGTGCACCCCTGTTTGTCACGGAATTTTCACAACCCAGGTCCATCCCTGGGCCCCGACAACCGCGATTGGCAAAAAAAAAAAAAGAAAAGGATGGGACGGGGGGGCTGAACTGCTGCCTGGCGACGCATATTGCCGCCGTTTCCAAGAAATTTCAAGTCACCTCTTCAAGTCACCTCCGGGAGGTGACTTGAAAATTGGCCGAGGCAACGGCCGCCCTCGAGTTTCAGAGCGGGGTTTTGTTGAGGCGGGAAGCTTAATTGCTTTCCAATCATGATTAACACATCTCAAGGGCGTAGTGGAATGGTGCTGCCCTTGAGATTTTTTCAAGTTGAGGGTAGTGGAACGAGGCCCTAAGTCGGCGTTCAGAGGGCCACGCGGCAAAATAACGGAAATTTCAGGGGCATCTAGAAACATTTTCCAATGTGTTTTTTTTTGCGTTTATTTTCCTTATTTTACGCTGCCACCCACGTGTCCCCCACCCGTCCCACACCCGTCCCACACCCGTCGCACTAATCCACATACATGGCTAGTGGGATCTCGCCCCTGTCAAACTAATCCACCCGTCCCCCACCCGTCCCCCACCTCAGTCCTGGAGATGCAAATAATTTCCACCGTTAATTTTCCGGGTATAGATGCGAGTTGGCGCGGGGACTGGGGATAGCGATGGCATCGGCTGACAATCTCCCTGCCGCGCGAGCCTACCAGAAATGTTACGTGGTACTGCCTACGGCAGGTCGGCCTGCGAACAAAGAAGTCATGCGACAGTGCATGCTGACTTGTGCGGGCCAAGCTCTTACCCGTGCAGGGTAGCCTGCGTGCGCAAGACTTGATCGCAAAGCAGCCCGGCCTCTGCACGCGTGCAAGGGACTCGACCAGTCGTCCCTTGCTTGCACACCTGGGTTGCTGTTCGCATCACAAAAAGGTTTTTAAGCATAGCTCAGTTCTCTTTCTCTCCCAAAGCCGTCCTCCTCTTCGTTTCCCTTGTTCTTCTTCTTTCTTTTCTTCCTCGTCCTTCCTCGTCTTCTTCTCTCTCTTCCTCTATTCTTCTCTCTTTTTCTTCCTGCTCGTTTTCCTAGCTGATCTCAAGCTTCCGTCTTCTTGTTCTCATCATTGTATGCGCTGCGCGACCATCTGGCATTCTTCTTCTTTTTCTATTTCTTCTTCTTCTTCCTCTTCGTCTTCGTCTTCTTCTTCCGGACGGAAGTATTGAACACGCCGGCTTTGTTTTGGCCAGAATCAAAGTGAAAGGGCGTTGAATTCATAAAACCGAAAGCAGTTGAATCAACATTACATCGGTAAATTCTTAGTTTGTTCGGTCTAATTTTGATTCGGTTTCTAGATAAAAGACTTCACGAAATTCATGGTTCCACTTGAATCCACCAAGGCAGTCCCTTTTTTTTCGGCCCTTTTGTATCTGATGCAACTCGAGTCCAGTTGGCATGCATAGTAGAATGACATGGAATTCAGAATCATGGAGCTGGAGAGCTGAGTCTTGAATGGGTTTTGGATGTCGATTTCAATTAATCGACGTACGAAATATGATTCAATCGATGGCAGATGACTGGAACTTGCCGAGAACCAAGCTGACCTGGCAATCTGTGGCAAATGCAGGTGCAGAGGCTTGCAACTCTGTCTGTCTTTCAACCTACAAGCAAACAGCCTATCTACCTATCAACCTATCAACCTATCAACCTATCAACGTATCAACCAATCAACAATCAACCAATCTATCGATTGATCAATCGGTAGATTAGAAGGAACACACGTTGATTGGTTAGTCAATTGATTGGTTGATTGATTAGTTGATTAATTGATTGATTGATTGATTGGTTGTTGGTTGATTGACTAGTCGCTTGACTGGTCGTTTGATTGGTTAATTGATTGGCTAATGGATTGTTTGACTGTTGGATTGAAACGCGCATGTTATACTGTTGCGTCTCAGCACGTGCCCTGTGCGTTGAATGTGAGTCGCATTACATCGCACTACCTTTCTCGTTTAAATTGGTTTGCTTTGCGCGCAGCGGTCTTACGGCAGCAAGGGACGAAGGCAGCGGTGGAGAGAAGTGGGGCGAGGCGAAGGACTGTTCGCTCAGCAGGAAAGACGCCGCCCGCATCCCTCCCGCCTCCCGCCCGCCGGCCCCTCAGCTTGCCCCTTGCAGCTTGCGCACTACGCGCGGAAGGTTTCAGGCAGCCGCAGTGAGAAGAGAGGGGAGAGTTCATCGCCGCACTCGACTCCCGCGCACGTCTCTGTCCGAGCAGGAAGCAGTTAGTAACCGAGGAAAATGATGCTTTTTCCAGAAACTCGGCCGCGCCTTGTGTGTCTGCGCCACCGGATGATGTCTTCTGCGCGAAGCAGGTGCACGTGCTGGTGTGCCAGCGCCCACGCACGGACTCTTCGCGACAGATGAACAGCAGGCAGATTTCTCAGCCAACCACGCATCTTTTTGTTTGTCGGAGCCCTGGCGTGGGCAGCTGACGACAACACTTTGCGGAATGCATTTTTGCTTATTGCTCATAGTATGGATCCTTGACGTAAACCAAGGTCATCGTGGACAGAGCGACTGTTAGGGTTCGAGGGGTTAACGACCCCGCTGTTCGAACTCGAGAAGAAGCCGGGATCGAGACAGAAGAAGATGCGTCTAGGGGTCAAACCACCAGTACTTCCTACAGTCGCGTAGCGTTAACGCTACGCAATTTTAGGAAACGTACGGGCCACTACAGAAGCGCCCAAATTCATCCAACTAGAAACGTTTCTACTCTTATTTTTTTCCGCGGCCGATAGCTGGGCCAAGTACTGGTGGTTTAACGAGCCGCGGTTCGAACTCGAGGAGCCAGGGATGGCAGGAACCATTGGGAGTGGACGGGAAGAATCATCCGTCTAGACTGGGCCGTGCAGAAATCGCCCAGAGAAAGAGGTTAACGAGTGTGACTATGGTTCGAACCCACGATTTAGCCCAGAGAAAGAGGTTAACGAGTCGCGGCTTGAACGCACGATTTAGCCCCCGACCGAGGTGACTGTGGTTCGTCATCCCGCGGTGGCGGCTGGTCTTCGGGCGGCTTGAGCAGTTATGGGGGAATGTAAGAGGGTGGTGGTTTGGTAGGTACTACTATCAATACAGTGGTGCTTCTCCCCCCCCCCTCTCCCCTCCTCCTTCTGTGTGTCCCTCAATTTCAACACATCGTCGATCAAGCCAATGCCTTCCTCTTTCGATGACGTAATGCTGTGGTAGGTTGCTGGTGAAAGCAACCGGACTGTCGCCCCCAAGAATAGAAGGGGCAGTGTATGTCCTGTCTGGAAAAAATGAATGGCTGGAGAACGATGATTAGATGCTTTTTTTCTTTTCTTAAAAGATTAGATGCTTTTTAAAAACTCTGCAGCCATGTTGGATGCGTTTGATCTAGCGGTGCCATCACTTGCGCAAAAATCTGTTTGAATGCGCGCCAATGCTGTATCATGGGGCGATCGGTGGTGAGCTCGTCGAAAGATGGATGGAGAAAGAGAGAGAGCACGTGGCTGTAATTCCAACGGCCCGTGTAGCTGGGTTGCTATGGTGTTGGCTAGGCTTTGGAGAGAGAGAGAGAGAGAGAGAGAGAGAGAGAGAGAGAGAGAGAGAGAGAGAGAGAGAGAGAGAGAGAGAGAGTTCTATTTGCAAAAAAATACAAACGATTGAGGGAATGTAGATTTCGATGCAATGTTTTGCCTAGTTTTGGCCAGATGACGTGGCAACAGATTGCTTCTGAACACGTTTTCTCACTCCTGGTTTACGCTGACGTGTGAAGGGATGCCAGGTCATCCATCTAATCGACTGGCATCCTCCAGAGTAGTTGCAGGAATGGAACCGGTTGAAAGACAAGCTTGGGGTCTGAGAGATAGATGTTGACTGGCCCGTATAAGAGTAGCGTTCGTTCTTTTATGGATATTATTTTTGTTGTGTGCCTCCTTTTGCCAGGGAAGGATGAAGAAAAATTCGCCAAGCTATTTCAGTTGGAGGTGATGAAGCCCTTGCAACTTCTTACTACTTCGTTTCCTCTGAGGAAAAAAAAAAAGAACAAAAATAAAGTGAAAGTGGTTTACTTGGATTCGCCATGAAGTTAGTATCGATCAGACTTGAAGTCAAAGAAGCGGATTAAGAAATCAAATTTGGAATTTGATTCGTCATTTCCAATGTACTGAAAGTTATTTGATTCGTCATTTTCCAATGTGCTGAAAGTTATTTGATTCGTCATTTCCATTGTGCTGAAAGTTATTTGGTTCGTCATTCCAATGTACTGCAAGTTGTGCCAATTTGGTGAGTCATTGACTTGATGGTTTGTGTTGGGGGGGCCGTTGTCACACGCAGATGGCGACATTGCAGCCGCGGTGGCATCTCAGGAATATGCGGGGTCTCGACAGCGGGGGACGATGGGAATGCCCACGTGCTTCCCCGTCCGAGGCTTATCAGCTTACCCAGTCATCAATGGGTTGACGTTTGGGGAAATGCCGCGCACCAGAGGACTTGCAGTCGCTGCTGCCTTTTTTTGCGTCCTGCGTGTGCGGAGGGATCAGAGTTACGCGCAGCGCGTTTGCATGTCTTTGCGCGGCATTTACGGGCATTCTCTCTCTCTCTCTCTCTCTCTCTATGTGCGACAGGATCGAGCGGCGATATCGGGGATATTCTTCGGCTTGTTCTCCCGCGCAAAAGCGAGACAGCGGGTTGAATATCGACACAGGTTCGTGATGCTGGTTGCTATGGGGCTTCTCTCTGCACCAAAGGCGTGTGCGACGTGAGAGCAGGGATAGATTGTGGGCGGCATACTATATTACCACAGTTTCGTGCGGCAGTTAAGCTATCGGGTTTCTTTCTGCACCAAAGGTGTGTGGCGACATGTGCACAGGGAGAGATTTAATTGTGGGCGGCATATTGGCACTGCTTCGAGCGGCGGTTATCGGGATTCCCGAGGCAGGGGAGGCGTGTGCGCGACAACGCTGGGGTCTTTTCCAGTGCTTGTGCACGGCCGAAACTTCCAGGGTACGGCTGCTGTACACAGCTGTGTGCGGCGTTGATCGGGTTCTTTTGCTTGTGCGACAACGGTGTGACAAAGGCTTGGCCTTAGTGAGTGGATCGTCCGTCTCTCCCGAGGCTGAGACGAAAAGCGGCTGAGTTGAGTGCGACGTGGGGGCGGCGCAAGCAGCATGGCGGCGGTACCGCAGTCGATGCCTGGGACGGCACCACCGGGCGAACCTCCAGATCCCAGGCTGGATTGGATTGAGACAAGAGTATGCAGCTCGCTGGAGGTGAAAACTGAGAAGTTTCGTGTCCTCCTCAAGACGGAGGAACCCAGGTCCTGTTCAACTGCTCCCTCTTTTTTTCGCCCCTTTTTTTTCTCTTTCTTTTGTAACCTCCCTCGCTCCGTGTTTTTTTTTTTTTTTTTTTTTTTTTTTAAACCAATGAACTCATTATAAAAGGAATCAAGGCAGGGGACCTCACAATTCTACCCGGAGTTATCCTGGCAGCATCAGCCAGTTTAGCTTACGGCCCCGGCCAAACCAGAGACCAACTCACAAATCAATCAATTTCACAACACAGACCTCCACCGCACAATACACTCGCTCCGTGTTATATTCTCAGTTCAAATTTCAAAATAGTTTTGACATATAATTCAATATAATCAGTCGGGGGATAATGATAAAACCATGTCCTGAGTTAAGGGGGGTCACATGCCACAGCCACGCCACGGATGTAGGTGAATGGTGCACACATGAACTGTTTGTAAACAGATAATGAGTTTGAATCCGTGGAATTAGACAGATACACTAACGTTAGGGCTTAGGTCTTTCTTTTTTTTTTTTTAATGAAAGAAAAGGAAAGGGAAAAATGTGCAGCCACCCTTAAATTGTCGTGAAGCTTGCCTAACAGGGTTGGTTTAGGGTTTAGGGTTTAAGGTTTACGGGGTGGGAGTCGAGTTTGCTTTAGGGTTTAGGGTTTAAGGAGGTACAAGGGTTATATTTGGCATCCTGACACACTTTGACGGTGCATTTTATATGCACCTTGAGGGCTTTTCCCCTTGTCCTTTTTGGTCCCCCCTCCTCCTCCCCCACCCGTTCTCTCCCCTCAAATTACCTGCAGGTGTTGAACATGTTGATTGATGAATTTTTGCTCCCATCAATGCCCACAGTCACCAAAGAACCACGGTAGTCAAGCATGGTGTCCCCATCCGAAAGCACAGGGGTTCAAGTCTGGTTCAAAGTATAATTTTAATTATAACTTGTCTTAACATAAATTAGATTTAGTAGATAGATAGATAGATAGATAGATAGATAGATAGATAGATAGATTGATTGGTTGATTGATAGATAGACAGATAGATAGATAGATAGATAGATAGATAGATAGATAGATAGATAGATAGATAGATAGATAGATTGATTGATTATAGATAGATAGATAGATAGATAGATAGATAGATAGATAGATAGATAGATAGATTGACACTAATTTGATAGATTGGCAGATAGAGAATATTAGAGATAGATAGCTAGGCAAAAATAGATAGATAGCGGTTTCCAGCAGGTGCAGCTCCCCACCAATAGAATGGAGCTAATTTCTTCCAAAAAAAAAAAAAAAAAAAAAAAAAAAAAGACAAAGTCCTATCTGTAGCGAGAGCAGCAGTGGGCCCCACAAGGCCCCCATGTCGGTGAACCAAAATAATGTTATATTCTAATTTTACGTGGATTCAGTATTATCGGTTCTGTGGTTTTGTCTTAGTATAACATGTCCTCCAATATAACTTGTCTTAGTAACTTGTCTGAATATAGCTTGTCTCAGTGTTGCAATCTGCGTACTTAGGTAGGCATAGGTTTTGTGTACGGCAGGAGTACGGCGTTGGTGAAAATCTACATGTTGGGCGAAACCTTGATTTCTGAAATTAGTGGTCGGGTAGGGGTGGTAAGGATGCCAGAAACACGTTTCTTTATGGAAAATTGAAAATTGAAAATGGACAATTGACAATTGACAATTGGGGAATTGCATCATTGCATCCAGCACAGAAGATATACAGAAATATAGATGTAGATGAATACACCTGAAAGAAAAGAAAAGAAAAAGTTTGTCAAAGATCCAAAACTTGGGGACATTCTTTAAAATGGGAACGATTCAGAGAAGATTACCATAGCCCCTGCGCAAGGATGACACACGTAAATCGATAAATGGGAAGGGGAGGGAAAACAAAAACAAAAACCTCTTACAAGTCTATCAACAAAACAAAATAAAAAGTCTCGGCGGTTGTGGTGGTATCTGATTATATCTTCTCTTCATATAATTTGTCTTACTTCAGTTGTTAATAACTTGTTATGCACTCTTTTTTTTTCCCTTTCAGAATCTTCTTTCGTGTTTCCCTCTTCTCGCTCTCTCATTACACAACGGTATCCTTTTGTAAATTTGTATCCTTCCTTCTCTGATCATCCTCTGTCCTCTTGCCCCACTACTCCCTACTCCTCCAGTTAAAAAACCTTGGCAGCCGGTTGCCATTTGATGTGAATCTTTTTTTTTTTTTTTTTTTCATTTCATGTGGTTCTTAGGCTCTTAGGTTTTTGTTTTTTTTGTAAAAAAGGGGCGCTGGTCTTGACATATGATCATTGAAGTGACTGGCGCTGTGTAATTCAGAACTTGTGTTATTCAATCCATCTGGTTGCATCTGGATTAGAACTTGGGTCTGATTCATATTTCAACAGTTCAGGGGGGGTGTACCAATTGCGCTAGGCCCGTTGGTTGGTATGTGGTTCTTAACTTGATAGTAAGTTGATACTTATGAGGATGAAGTTCTGCTGCATTGCCTCTTTGTTTGCAGGCTTATGCTCGACGACTTCCTGGATCAAGTGGACAGCCCGCGCATTTTCATTTTCGAAGACAAGCAAAATGACTTGCAAGCTTCTAGAGTTCCTCCATCCAAAATAAAAAAGAAAGTGGTGAGATGCAAAGAGATGGGAGGATTTCTGTACAAGTCATTTGCAGTGTAACATCGTGCTTGAATAATCATGGGGATATTTAAATTTTAAAGAGAACAAAAACCAGCATCCTTACACATCCACCCTTTTTTGTCCGGTTTTTTAAATCTACGCATTTTCTTTTCCAACGACGAGCACAATGGCTTCTAAGCTTGTAGAATTCTTTTTTTTTCCCGCTGAAAATGGAAAAGAAAGTGGCAGGATGCTAAGATAGGTAGAATTTCTCTATGACACCCTTCTTTTTTTCCCTTTCCTTCCCGCCCCCCCTCCTCTGGTGGTCCCTCCTTCATGGATTTCCTTTTTTTTTGGGTTTTTTAAATCTGTGCATTTTCTTTTCCAACAACGAGCACAATGGCTTCTAATCTTCTAGAATTCTTTTTTTTCCCGCTGAAAATGGAAAAGAAAGTGGCAAGATGCTATGATAGGTAGAATTTCTCTATGAAACCTACCTTTTTTTCCCTTTCCTTCCCCCCCCTCTTCCCCTCCCCCCCCCCACCCCTCTCCTCTTCTGGCGGTCCCTCCTTCATGGGTTTCCTTTGTGAAGTGTTCGTTGCAGTTTCTTCTCTGTACTTGGGTGCCTGAGTAATTATATCCTCTTTCTCTCTCTCTCTCTCTTTTTGTTTTTCTTGGTTCGCTTGGGTAGATAGGTGGGTAAGCTGCGCTCTCGTGAAACCCATATCCCTTAGCGGTCTACGCTGGCTATGCATAGATATGGAGTGCAGGGGCAGGATATAACATGAGGTAAGCAGGTAGCTAGGGTGAGGTGAAAAATATTGAGACAAGAGAATAGCATAGTGATAAGGCTGTCCCCCATATATGAGGAGAGGACAGCTTTTTTTCTTAAATTATATCCATATTATTCGGAGCTAAGTCAGCTAGTGTATTCTTTCTGAGGTAAACAAGTGCAACATCTTTATCAATGAGAGATTCAAATGTTGCAAGATAAGAGTACATCTTGGATCGGCTGCCTGCAAACAGTCTGTACACTACCTTATTTATTCCCCTGAACACAACAACCTGTCGTTATACCATACAGATACAATGACTGGGTGTTGTGTTTGGGGGAAGGTTGTAGGCAGGGAGTGATAGATGACAGATAATGACCAGATACAGATATAATGACCACAGGCAGGAGTAGTGGCTGAGAGATTGTATAGAGAGTGAGTGTGTCATTCCTCTTTCGTCATTATGACATCCATGATGATTAATCATGTAGTTAACAGAGATTACGTTAAATCAGCAGTGCCTGAAAACACTCAGTCGTCATTACGAGGCGGCGGATCCCAAAATCTGCTGCTGAAAGAAACCGCATCCGTTTTTTTTCTTTTTTCTTTTTTTTCTTGATTCGGCAGTGATGGTTTACTCGGACAGTGTCTCCCATCAGTATTAGGAACCTGAAAAATACATAGCCTGGCAGTGGGGCTCGTAGGGCATAGCTGGTATGGTGGCGGTGAAGAACACGGGTTGCAGAAGCTTCTACCTGTTACTTCAGCTGTTCCAGGTTGGTGCTGGATGGAGTGTGCCTTTGTCTGAGTACAGGAAGCGGCTAGCTCTTACTACCATTGAATACCGACAGTGACCATACTGCTACCAAGCCAGCTTGTGACCACTTAGCCAGAGTTCCAGCGAGGCACAGGCAGGTAGATGCGAGCCACTTAGCCATTCATGCAGCCAGCAAGGCAGCAAGGCAGAAAGGGAACAAGGGAACAAGGCAGTGAGTTGAGCCTGCAGGCGGGCCCACTTCTGGCAGAAATTATGTGAGAGAAAGAAAAGGGAGCAAGTTGTGCAGTAATTCACCCAGGCAAGCTGGCCGGCAAGCTCGCCAGCTGCTGCCTTTCTCTCCTGAACAGATGACTGATCGTTATGGATGTATCAGACAGCTACAGACAGCTTGTATACACTTATGATGACTGGGATTGTGGTCGCAGGAAAAGGTAGGCTGGGCCAATCAGCTACCACCTTACACGCAAGGGATCAAGCAAGGAGGCAGGCAACACAGGAGCCAGACAGGTTACGTGGAACTGAGCAAAGCAGCCAAGGAAACAGCCAAGCAGCCAAGCAAGAAATCAAGCAAGGAAGATACCCATCCCAAATGGCTGAATGGTAAACTCATGTATCTGTTGACAAACAGGTCATGAGTTTACATCCTGACGACAGTCAGGCAACTGAGCAGCCAGCTTACATGGAACCAAGCAAAGTAGCCCAGGAAACAGCAAGCAGCCAAGCAAGCAGGAAAGGTACCCAGCCCAAATGGCTGAATGGTACACACATGTAACTGTTCATAAACAGGTCATGAGTTTGAATGACGGAATCGGGTGGATACAATAATGTCAGTGGCTCACCTCGTTTAGAAAAAAGGAAAAAAGCAAGCAAGGAAGGAAGGAAGGATACAAAACAGAGAATGAAGTGAGCATGCAATTGAGCAACAAATCCGCCTATTGAACGGGTTGGCAACCAACTGACCAGCTGATCAAGCGCACATCCTTAGTTGCCAATCAGTACGGTTAGCAAGGAACCAATCAAGATAGGAAGCAAACAACCAACAAAACAGACAAAGAGGCACTCAGCCCAAGTGGCTGAGTAGCCACACATAACTGTTAGTAAACGGACCACGGGTTCGATTAAATAACAATAATGTTAGGGACTATTCCCTTGATAAACAAAGAAGCTGCCTTTCAAGTTTTGAGTTCTGAATTCAATGCCACAAATGGATCCTCTCCAACCCAGCTATCTGAGATTATCAATTTCTAGCATTTTCTATTCATAAAAAAAGGGCTTACTTTTTCTTCTGCATTTGGGATACTTTGCAGGTTTACTTTGTGAAGCTGAGCAGTGTGGTGATTACGAAAGACAACATAGCACAAGAACTCACTTATGGCGAGATCTCAGAGAACCCACTTGAGCAAGTGCGCTTTTGTTTTCCTCTCTCTCCCTTTCTCTTCCCTTTTCTCCATTTCTCTCTCTCTCTCTGTCACACACACACACACACACACACACACACACACACACACACACACACACACACACACACACACACACACAGTCTCTTTGCCTGCTATGTGGATGCTTTAGGTGCTAATTGGATATGAAGTTTGAATGTGGCTGAAAATTTGAAATGATTGACAATGGGCAGAGGTCACAACTTCCTTTCTCATTCTGCAAATAAGTTTCCAAGGTGATAGAACAACTGCCTCTTGCTAATGAACTCTGGCTAATGGACTCAGGGTGTTGATAATCCTCCCTATGGAGGTCCACGGTGGCATCAAGCTAACGTCTGCTGTCCAACCCCAATCAACACAGTTGACTCGTACGGGAGTTGGCTGACAACAATTCGGCTGCCATTTTCTGTAGGGAATTTCAGGAAATAAGCTGTGGGTTTCAGCACAGGGGGTCAAATACCTGAGATGCCATTGATGGGGTGAGGGTTGGGGTGATGGCAACGGCAATGATTGTAGTGACTGTACTGCTGTGCTGCAGCTGATTATGATCCATGTGGGATGTGAACATGTGTAGGGAGGAGGAGGAGGGGTGCAGGTGTTTGATTTGAATCATGCCATGCTGTGGCATGATGAAGGCCTGATCAATGATTGAGCTGGGATGGGGCAGCAGAGGAGAGGGAGGAGGAGGAGGGGGAGGAGGAAACAGAAGAAGAAAGAAAGAAAGGGAAGAACGAGAGAAAGAGAAAAAGAAAACTTGAGTAGAAAGAAGTGCGGCAGAATGACTGATAATTGTGCAGCTGAAAGACAACTAAATGTTGCTCCCTGGCCTCAGACCATGACTTCAAACTCTCCAAATTCCAGAAGCGCAGAACCACCGGGTCTGTCGTTCAGGTGCAACTGCCCAGAAATATTCACGGTCGAAATTAAAAGTATTTTGATTTTTGGTTTGGTTTTCTCCTTGGGGGCTCTGCATGTCTAGGGAATGACTTTGAATTCATCTTATAGCACAGTCTGTGGACATGTGTGGGTGTTCAACCATAAAATAACCTGGCAGCCTTGCACTTTCTAAAATTTTCGGTGGTTGGTGTCGGGTTTTATGTTGGTGAATGGCTGACAAAACACACACACACACACACACACACACACAAACACACACACACTGTTGCATATCAGAAAGTGAAATGCACTAACAGCCTAGGATCTAGCAATGATGAAAGTGGCAACAACCAGCAGCATAGATGCAACATTCACCAGATGTCAATGTGCACAATGCAACAAGTA